AGTTCAAATTCATTTGATATCTGTTCTCAACCACATGATCTCATCAACCACATTCCAAATTAAATTCAACTAAAAAAAAAGTTACTTTTTTTGTAAGTACAGTAAAACCTCATTATAACAAAGTTGAAGGAGCGGTCGTAATTATTTTGTTATAACCATTAGTTTGTTATAGCCAATGTCAATTTCTTCCCAGTATTAGCAAGCAAGGGGAATTAGGATTGCTTTGTTATATCCATTAGTTTGTTATATCCCATTTTGTTATAACGAGGTTTTACTGTACATTGTCACGAATGACTGGTAGAAAGACTGTTAGTGCAGTAGGAAACTAAACGTTTAATAAAAGCGAACTTGTGACCAAGACAAAAAAATACAAAGAGGTAGCGTCGCAGGCGTCGAAGGACGGCAGAGTAGCATGATCGAGTGCAAGAGCGAAACTGACTCTGAAACGCCTTGCGGGGCACCCTTTGTACCCGCATGCGTTTCTGGAACATGCGGCGTAGAAAGTTAGGCACGTAGGACATTTGATCCTCGATCAGACGACAAGGTTCTCGATCTTACGAGAACGCTAAGTTGAAAAAATAAATAAAAGGAGCTTCTGCTTCCAGGTATCGAACCTGGGGCCTCCACACGAAAGCCAAGCACGGTAACCATTCCGCCACGCCCATACCCTCTCGACGACGCGCGTCGCAATATATTGTTCAGCCACGGAAGAGGGCAATATCATCAAAAACAAACTGCAAGTTCACTATTGTTTCTCACCAATATACTTGTACTTGTTATCATGCAAATGTATAAATTAGTTTACAAATGGCACATACTGCATTTACAAAATAAATTCGCAACTAGTTCCCATCCTGCAAATGAAAAATGATTGAGCAGAAGTTATAGTAGGAAAAAAACTACATGGTATATTTCTTTCATCCCGTTTTATGAATTTGCTGAACTAGTGCAAGGCTTATGCAATGAAGGAGTAAAAACCACAGTACCCACCTCCATCATGACACAACAGATCTGGTAGATGCATTTTGTGATAGCATCAGCCGTCCCAGAAACAGTAACAGCGCGCTCAGTGGAGTTTGGAAGCATTTCACTAGCAACCTGAATTGAGGCACCTGTCACCTGCACAACACAAAGCAGACAAACAATCAGAGATCTTGCTACACTTAATTTTAACGCGAGTGCAAATGAAGTCAAATATTTTAGGAGGGCGTATGTGTTTGAACAACTTTCATTTACATAAGCATGCATGCCCGGCAAGGGAAGTTCAAAGAGTGATGCTTGCTCTTGTACCTGTTAGTTCCCTTGAACTTAGGGCGACACAGAGTGGAAGGGGGGGGGGGGGGGGAGATAACAAACGTCTTTCTAATGGTGAATTCAGGTGGTCGCCTCTCTCCTCTGACCTCGATTCAGCAGAGCGCCCCCGTCCTCGCCACCAGAGCTACTCGGGATCCTTTTCAGCCGATTACAACTGCTGGGTTCAGAGCGCTCCGACATTTTCAAACCAGTCACGGAAATAAAACTTCTTGACACTGGTAATGCATTAAAAAAGAAAAAAAAGATTTTACAGCATACGGTGGACGATTGAGCAAAATTTATGCTCATAACGTGATGAAATAACGGTTGGGACGTAACTGTTTCACGCATTGGCATATTAAAAAAAAAAAAAAAAAAAAAAAAAAAACACAGCAGTAAGCGAATTGATTTTTGCAGAACGGAACGAAAGCCAATGCTTGGAAAAAGTTGTCAACTCATCGCGTTTTTGACAGTGAACGCACTGCGATAGCAGTCATACGTACGGCTGGGCAGGCAAATATAAAATGGCTAAAAACCACATTTTTCTCACGGCGAAATATCGTGCAAGCAGGATATAGCACATATCGCCATGAGACACAAATCACAGTGCATTATATTCGGCTTTCCCTTTATTTTACAACACAAACCTTTCACCACACCTTTACCAAACCTGAAAATTTCTCGAAGCGACCACAAAACCCGGTAAAACAGCAGCGAGCTCTGCAAGCTGTTTCTTCGTTGGTTAGGCTCAGCGGATTCACCGCCGTGAGATGAACTATCTCGTGAAAGCGCTGGGAATACTTCACACATCGACTTCTCCAGTTAAGGTCACAAACGAATGTCGTCCCGTCCGTTGTAATCCTCGCACCGTCGAATGCACAAGCACTTTGTAGAACCACACATCAATCACTGTCATGCCGGACCCCGCACACCACAACAGACCACTGCCGTCGTCAACAAAACCAAGTGATCCCCTTCCAAGTACCACGTGACGTCTGCACTGCTCTGCACTCCAACGGCTACCGACGGAGTGCTAGGGAGCGCTCTGAGAGGGAGAGGCGCCCTCGGAATAAACCAGCCGATCAGGCCACAGCACTCTTTCCACCACCCGATCTCGCGCTCTCTGAAAATAGCGCTCGAGAGTGCACAGAAAGAACCACGCGAATTCGCCATAAGACAGTGAAAGCCCATTTGCAGTCTTCACCAACTAATGCGAATGTGGAACTTTTGGAGCACCAGAACAACACATTTGATCACAGTAGGAATGCTGTCCAGCAAAAGCATGTGTAAATATTGTATACTGCTAAGCACTGCTACATGGCACTGCTCATTATTTTTCTATTAAACATTTAGGAGCATCAATGGCAGTAGGATCACCACAAAACAGACAAAGAAATCTTTAAAATTTACATGCATATGTTGAAGATACAAGTAAATACAAGCCCTTTAAGCTTTAAAATCCCACTGTCCATTTAGGCTCTAAAGAGGCATGTTACTTCATAGCCCTTCCAGTCCCATTGTTGAAGCTTTAGAGCGCAGCTCTTAGGCGCCCGCTTCCGTGTTTCATGGCGTCGACATTGGCGTCAGAGTAATTGCGTCAGATTTAGCGGGAAAATTGATGTCACTAACCTCAACAGCAATTCAATTCCCTGCTAAATTTAGCGGGGAAATTCAGTTTCTCTGCTAGATTTAGCGGACAAATTCAGTTTCTATGCTAGATTTAACGGGAAAATTGACGTCACGTGACCTCAACACCAATTCAATTCCCCGCTACGTGACCTCCAACACCAATTCAATTCTCCGCTAAATTTAGCGGGGAAATTCAGTTTCTCTGCTAGATTTAGCGGACAAATTCAGTTTCTATGCTAGATTTAGCGGGAAAATTGACGTCACATGAAGCCAACACCAATTAAATTCTCCGCTACGTGACCTCAACACTAATTCAATTCTCCGCTAAATTTAGCGGGGAAATTCAGGATTTACAGTGAAAATTGACATCGCGTGACCTCAACACTAATTCAATTTCTTGCTAAATTTAGAGGGGAATTCAATTGGTGTTGAGGTTATGTGATGTCAATTTTCCCGCTAAATCTAGCAGAGAAACCGAATTTGCTCATAGGTGACGTGACACCAAGTCATGCGACATGATTTTCCCACTAAGTTTAACGGGGAAACTGAAGGGCAGAAAAAGGGGAGAGGAGGGGAAGGAGGAGGAGGGGGATGGAAGGAGGAGGAGGGGCAAACCCTCCCCTCCTCCTCCTCAAGAGCTGCGCTTTAATTTTGCATTACAGAGATTTGTAAACATTTACAAATCTCTGTTTATGTTTTCGTGGCTATGTTTGAATTTGCAACAACATTCTGTCATTGTAGGTGTTCTCAAACCGGGTTCCTAGGAACACGGGGGTTTCCCAGAGCACACTAGTTGGTTCCCCGAGCTCCCAAGTTTTCCCGATCGTCCACTGGCCCTAAATAGAGTAATTTCTCTGCTTAAGGGGAGACGCGGGTCAAAAAACGGCTATATTTTGCACAAAAAAAAATGATATTTTGGCTTTTATGCTGTTTTATTATTTTTGAATCTTTATATTTGATGTAGAAAAATATTTAGTGCAGGTTATGATCGCGAAATTAGTCAAATGTGCATTTGAAGACCTCAAGGCAACCTGAACAGCTTGAATTTGAGCCAATTTTCTCTGTGTAGTTCTTCAAGTTGCGACGTCACCTGCCACGAGTTCACTGAGGTTGATTGAATGGCGTTTCATCGAAACATGTTTTAGAGAACGGGCACGGTTTATGAAAGCTCGGTTTAGAAAAAGCGGAGCCTCAGTTTAGAGAAATGCCGTTTATCAAAAAGGGGACACTGTTTAAAAAAGGCTTTCCTACTCTGTGCATGTATTACAGGGACCCAGGTTAACCCACCCGCCCCTCCATGTTTGTGACGCTTCGCGGAGGCAGTCTATGGCGGCTCATTACAAAAATGTTAACTATCCTGACCCATCTGTACATGCCTGCTTTGCAGCGGCCAAATTTGTTGAAACGAGGATCATCGCCATTTTCTCTAAACTGGGTTTCTCTATAAAAAAATTCTATAAACTGGATCGGTAAAACGGCGTTTGCTAAAACAAGCTTCCCTAAACTGCATGCTTCCGGGCCGCCACCGCACTTCCGTTGATAAGTAGACCTAGCCATCTCCTCTCCATTGCAGTCTTCTGTAGTTTCAATTTCTCACGGAAATTTATTAACAAAATATTATTTCACGCACCGCGAAAGAGTATAACTACACATCCATGCCAACATTCAAACACATTTTTTTTAATGTAATTATGGAGCATCTTTGCAGGTCGCGAACAAGAGTTTCTGTTCTTAATATTGTTTTATAATGACCAAATTTGGTGTGCATATACTTGAGAATATGTAGAATGCAACTCTGTGGGTTTGCTTTGAGTGTATGTTTTTTATATTTCCGATAAATTTAGAAAACTTTTGTTAGCCCCTTGAAATGAAATTTTTGCTATTTGCAATTATTTTATAATGAACGACAAAAATAACATTATTTTTGTCAATCATTGTTGTCCACGATTTAAAAGGAGTGAATTAGTTTATTCTAGTAGACTTTATTCAGTGTGTTGCCATGCCTCACAACTGCACAAGAACATGTTCTTTTTCTGCATGTGCAACATTGCATTGAGAATCTAAAAACACAAGCTACATCAATACTAACATCAGATTTACAAAGAAAAGATTAAGCATCATAAACTGTAAAAATTTCTTTTCGATATTGTAAATAATAATAAAAAAAAATTCCCTTGGCGCATGTTTGTTCAGACTATGTTAGCAGATCTTAAGCCACCTGTTGATGAATAAAGATGCCTCGTACATCACACAAAACACACAGTGTTCGCTGCAGACAGGATGACAGAATTACCTGCGAAGATACCTCAAGCACGTTTGCTTTAGACACATGTATGTTTCGAACATATCTGCACGCGGTCCTTGTGTGACCAATGGGACAGAACCGCCGTAGAAGCAGGAAACACACCTCAGACAGTGTCATCAGACCGTCGTTTGTAAGTCGTACTAGCAGCGTGACCGCCGCTCAACTACGAGCCAAACACTCGCTGGTATGCTCAATATTGTTGGCACGCCGCTCCTGAACAGCTAGCTTTACTGCACCAATGTCAAAACTAGGGGCTCTAATCTGGACACTCGGCAAAAAAGTCGGTGAGGAATTCTACCACCTGGATGGCCGGCCGATCACAGCCACTGAACTCCTCGCCAACCTTTTTCGCTGAGTGTCCAGCTCAGAGCCCTGGGGGGGATCCTTGGTTTTTAGTCAAGGCGGGCAGGGGTACCTGATTGGAAAGTTTGTAAACCCCTGCTGTAGGCTGTACTCTTAAAGCATCAACAAAAGAGAAAGGTAAAGGCAGGGGAGACAGAGAGGTGAGGACAGACAAGTAGTAGCATGCACGTGCCTCCCTGATCTCCTTGATCTTGGAGCCACCCTTGCCGATGAGGGATCCGCACTGACTGGCGGGCACGATGAGCCTAAGGGTGACTGGGGGCTTGGGCAGGTGGCTGCCGTTGCTCTGCAGCTCCTGCAGGGTCGGGCCCACGGCGGCCGCCTGCACAGGCACGCACAGCAGGGACAACATCTGCTGGTCCGTGAGGCCAGCCACGGGCACGCGCACCCCACAAAGGTCCCCGGACGTCCCCAGAAAACCTCCACGCGCTACGGCTTCCGCCCGATGAAGCTAGAGACACTAGATTAGCTATGTTTAGTGTGTCGACTCTATTGCCCAGTTATCATGTAGGAGCCGCCATTTTGATGCTTGGCACAGAGCGGGTGCTACCGATGATAAGCTGCCATTTGAAAATCCGGCTTTCCAAGCTTTAGACAGTGTGTCAGGGAGCTCTGGCGATATAGGTTTTCTATGTTGCAGACTGCTTTAACATACCTGGAAGACAGAAAAGCATTTCCAGCAATTTCAGATAAAACTTTTGATAACTGGTAACAATGATTTTGAGCTCCAGGATGGCTGAAGTGCCGCAACTCTGAAGTGCAGCTGAGCAACTGTTATGCCCCAGTGAAGGACTGCGGATTGATTTAGGACACCACAATTTTTTTTAAATGTGTAACTGAAATCTCAGTTACATGGCACCAATGCTGCTGCACGTCTCAGTCATGTTGTTGACAGCTGAGCCAGGATTCAAACCCACCAATTAGGAATCCAGCTGAAGGAAGAAGAACTTTGCCATTTTTAGAAACCTAAACTAAGTCTTCATGAATTTTGCATGTCTCGACATTGGTTTGTGCTAATAATCTTTAAGGGCTAGCAAGGAAGTTGGAGAAGTCGATAATTATTGGCCAGATATGTCCCTGAAATAAGGTTCCATTTGTGGCATAGCGAGGCAAATGAATGTGAACACTTGAACTAAAAACGAGAGGAATATCATTAAGCTTCCTGACCAAGCAGTTCGCTCTGACAAACTTTTCTCCAGCCAGTCACGTTTATCTGAGAAAAGATGAGATCAGTCACTTTCTGTGCAATGATTCAGCTTCCACCACTATTCCAAGTCAGTGTGGCTTGAAATAAGAAGGCACATCTTCACAATAAGCTTATCCTATCCAGGTTGTACCATCTTTTTCGGTGTATAAGTCAGTTTTTTTTCTCTTTCAAATTTCTGTTTGTTTTTTATGCAACAATGTGATGTAGTATATTTGTGTTTCTTTTTTTATAAGTACTTCATATGTGCAAAATGTAGGCCATATGAACATAACAACAAAGGAGGAATGGCAGAGCATCCGCTGGATGGCATGCTCTTTCGGCGATCCGAAGACAGTCCTAAGCTTGGTGACATAGGTCTGCAGCTGTAGTGCCACGATGACCACCTTAAGAAGCGCGACTTATATAGCCACATTTTCATGAAAAAGGCCAGTTTTAGGGAGGTGCAACTTCTAGAATGGTGCAACTTACAGACCGGCAAATATGGCAGCTAACAGACTATTCTCTAGATTAGGTTGATCAGCTGCTGGAGGCTGGGTTGACCCATGCCTCCAGTAGAGCATGGCCAGCGTAAAGAACTGTTCAGCGAAGGCAAAGTGTTAATCTGCATTTATGAATTATTTTTGGACGTGCAACAGGTAAATCATAAAGCTGTCAAGTGAAGGCTTGAGGATACGCAGTTGGAAACATGAATAGGGTCACAAGCAACCAATTAGTGAGTTCCCTTTCTAAGCACGAGCAGGCACCGTGGAGTGTAGGTTTCCAGGAATGTCCAGTGACCCTTGCCCACCCCTTCGAGGCACGTGTGAGCTTGTACTCACCTCTTCAAACTTTCTTGCGATGAGCGAGAAGGCCTTGAGGATGGCCTCCGTCGACCCAGTGACCGTGACAATGCGCTCAGGGCATGAACCGTCCGAGATGTTGATTTTGGCACCACTCTGCAGAAAAAGGTGGAGTGCAATGTCAAGGGATGCCTGTATGACAGTGACCACACGCATAGTTGCACAGTAGCCATCCAGAACTTCCATTTGCAATTATCGCTTTTAGAGCAAATGCGAATACTACTTTCTTCAGAGCTAGAAAAGCTCAAATATAAAGTTTTCAATGAGATGTTACACTCCGTTTCACCTCATGTCCGAGTGCTACAACACTACGAACCAACGGAGCCAATTTTGTTTCTCAGAAAGTGATCATCCAGCCTATCCAGCACATGCTTTAGTAGCGCCCTCTCGAGCCGTCAACACGGAGTGCGGCAGCCGTGAGCGCTTGCTGAGCTCGCTGCCCCCCCTTTAGTTCACGGCCACCCAAGCCAGGACCAGGGACGTCATGAAGGGGGTTATATCTTGCCTGTTTTTTGCAATTTTAATTTTCCTATACCGTATTTACTCGCATATTGGTCGATACGTCGTATAGGTCGACCCCCTAACTTCGGGACCCCCGAAAAAAAAAAAAGTTGAAAAATATAATACCGGGATTCGCGTATTGGTCGACCCCCCAGTTTTGATGAGGCGATTTTTGAAAAACAGGTCGACCTATACGCGAGTAAATACGGTAACTTTTAAAATAAAGCAAAATTCGAGAAAAGAAAGTTTCACTAAGTTACTATCTTCAGTGTGCTACGTTCGGTGCAAATTAAAAAACAGTTAAAAAGTCATTGCAGTGCCCCTTTAAGATGAAATGGAGTAAAAAAAGAATACAGGTACTAAGGTAACAAATTGTGCCAGTTAGTAAATGCACGATTGGTACATGAATACAGGTGAACTAAGCTTTTCATGACAGTTGATACACTAACAAATTAACAGCATTATGTGGACCGAGATACTGGACTTCATAAATTCAGTTCGTTCAAAGCCAATGGAGTGCATTATAAAACCCATTATCATGCTACAATTTAAGTTTCTTGCAACTTTACATAAAATTTGAATTTGTCTTTTTAACACTTTTGATGAACAAAGGTCTGGGGGAAACAATATGATAAACAAAGAAACTTACCTCTTCTCTGAACTTTTTTATGTTGTCTCCTTTCTGCAAGACAAAATAACAATCCGTACTGTAAGATAAGGAGCATTTGAATATATTTGTATAATCAGAAATAATTCTGCAAGATTTTAAAGTGATTTTGAATTGAAATCTATTCTACAACATTTTAGTGGTTCAGAGCAAGAGCTTATATTTAACATGAAGAGAAAGGTACTCACTTTTCCAATGATACTTCCCACTTCCTGCATGTCAAGAAAAAGAACCAAATATAAGATCAAGAGGTACAAAAAATGGAATATAGAAATACCATATTCATAAATAAATATTTTTAGGATCTGTACAAACATTTTACATAATTGTCAGATGATTACAACTTTCAATGTAAAATGAACACTGCAATCCATTTGGAAGACTGAGAACCAGAATGTGTGCAAGGTTTTTAACTAAATATTAATTTAAAAAAAAGAAGAAACACTTGTCAGCAAATATTTTGACAGTTGAGATTAATACAAAAAACATTCAGATTTTGAGAATTCCAGATTTATACTAATCAATGCAGAAAAAAATAGTATATGTGTCTAAGAACAATTACAATTACTTCCAGGACGACTGGCTACTTTGGCCAGCAGCTTTTGCAGATGCATAATTTTCACCTTTGCCTCTACATTATAGCTTCGTGGTGCATGCTGTAGACCAATAGCACCAATGCAGTTGCGAGTTTAATCACATGTACATTATTTTTGCTGCTTTCCAAAATTTAGATTCTCCCGTTTGAACACAATCAGTTGACATATGGAACAGTAGCTAAAGACTCTCCGTAACTTACTCGCAGCAGTTTTTTAATGTTTCATGTGCATAATCACGTTCCAGTTAAGAGCCAGCATTTATCCTTATCTATCCTATCTGGGTTCCCAGCAAATCCTCATTTTACAGAGAATGTGGCAACTGGAGTAATTCTGTATCTGATAAGATGGAATATTTTTCAGCGTTTTGGCCCGGCAAACATTTTGCCAGGAACACGTGATGGGCGACTTTTAAGGGTGGATACTGGTTTGAAAATTTACGGTGATTGCACGAGCAATCATGCATAGGTTTTTGGAGATAGGCAAACGACCAACCAAACAGCATTTACGAGCTTCTGGCTCGGTCAGTCTTTTTTCTCACGAGACGTGTCCAGCTCGCGTGGCAAAAACAAGTGCCTGCCGCAATCAATATGTGGTGTGCCGACTGATTGTCAGCAGGTACATCAAACAATTCATGTACTAAAAAGGTTATTTCCCTTCCAAAAGTGAACTTGTATTCTGAAGAAATTAAAACAAATAGATTAAGAAATTCCTAGTGCCTCCAAACTTTGTAGTGCAAGAAAAAAGTTTGCAGCTTGGGAAATATAATAAAATTGCGATTCATTGCACGCAAATCTTTAAATTAACTCTAAAAACACCACCACCGAAGCTTCTTCAAAATAAACTAAAAAAAAAAGGCAGAATCTCAGTGCCTGCTATCTTTCAATAAACTAACCTCCAAAAAGGTTCCAATGCCAAGCGAGACAAAATTAAAAGGAAAACAATTCAAGTAAAGCTAAAAGAAAACCAACAAAAAACTTCATGCGAGCATTACAGGTTGTATAAACGTGAACATACAGGTAAACTTGATGAGTCTATAAAATAAATCCATACAAGAAGCCTCATTAAAACACACAGGGTGTTCAGCCAGCCTGTGCCAAGATTTAAAAAAAAAGCTGGTGCACACTGTGCGTGCCAAACCAATGCAGTATTAATCATAGTCTTATAGAGAAAGTCAAGATATTTCCTGCACTGTGCAAAACTGTTTAACTGCAACAGAATAATTAGCTAGCTGTTTAAATCAGGGTGTCGAACCGGAACCGAACCGAAAACCGGAACCGAACCGGTATTTTTTCCGGAACTGAACCCAAACCCGAACCGTTATATTGTTATCGCGATGAACCTGAACCGGAACTGAACCGGAAAAAAAATAACGGTTACCGGCTCATGTCAAAACGGTTCGGCCATGCGCTGTTGACAATGAATGTGCTATCAATGCCATTTGTTTTTTAAGTGCCCTCAACTGACACACACCTGGCTTACATATTTTTCTTCTCCACTCAGTCTTAGGAATATAAACGCTGCATCCATGAATCTTGACATTGGAACCAGTATTGCGCTGGTCGCGGCTTGCACGGAAGAAAGAGAAATGGAAGGCAGTGCAAAAAGAAAAAAAAAAAATCGCGTCACGGGTTTTCATTTTCTTACAATCTCGTAAATCCTAAATGCTGCTGTGTGCTCATTTCATAACACGTTTCTAGAACGTGCGAGTTCTTGAAGCTTTCTTCCATCGGAATGAGAAAAGAAAAGGCTGTTGAGTTTGATAATAATGCATCCGGTTTCTATAGGCACTTAGAAGCTAACATATTTGTGAGACAGCGAACTCTTCTATTTTAATATTTATCCTATTACGTCCTTCTGGCGTTGCTTTCGGTGAAGTGTTTTTCATATTCCGTATCTTCTTTAATGAAAACTTCTTTAAGGGTCTAATTTGAGTTACCGAAGGCTAGTTCAAATAAAGAAAGCTGTATTTTCTCCCCACTGTTCCTTCAATTGCGCACACGCCGAGGTGGCGGGATAGTTAGTGAGTTCTACTTGTAAGTGGGTTTGTAAGGAGGTCGCGGATTTTACAGCTACTGCGTCGGACCCAATTAGATGGAGTCTGAATGCGTAAACGTCGGTGAGGTAACCTTTGAGTGCACATAAAGAAACCATTCCTGGTAGAAATCCCTGAGCCTTACACTACGATGTATCCCGTTTCGTATGTGCTGATTTCAGATGTTTTATTTGTAATTTATTTTGATGTTGCAATTTGTCATTTATAATTTCCGAACCGGTTCGCGGATCGAATTAATCGAAACGGAACTGAACCGGAACAAAATAAATTTACCTAAACCTGAACCGTAACCGAACCCATATTTTTTTCGGTTCGACACACTGGTTTAAATATGAACTTGTGTGCAAACCTTCCAATGTCAAAGTTATAGAGCATGTTGAGAAACATCCCGTTGTGTCATTTCCATCAAGGTAGCCTTTGTGCATAATTGTTTCAAGCTTTGAAAAAGCACAAGTCAACTGATACACCCTCTATATGAAACCCACGCAAAAGTCATGGTCAGGTCAGCAAGTTAGATATGATTAAACGTTGCAAAGCAGAGCTCTCCAATGTTGAGACTAGGCTTGCTTAAGCGGCAAGTTCAGAGCTAAAGAGACAAAGTGCAATGATCCCTTGTACTTGTTTATCACAGCAGATTGTTAATCAATGTGCTAATGAACAACAGCAAACATAGAGGCTAAGCATGTCAAGAAGGTTGGGGGCGGAACGGAGGGAAGCCATGCACAAGCACCCAATAAAAAAAGCGCAGGCGGCCGTTTAACACGCAAGGCTCTAAATGGCTCTTGCAGACACAAAGGAAGTGAACTCCCAAAAATTCAGTAAAAAAAAAAAAAGGAAAAAAAATAAAAAGGACACAACAATTTTTTGTTTATTTTCTGTTCTATCAACGCTGTCTTTGCCGAGAAAGTTGTGTTTGCCCCTGTCCCTCCCCTCTCCCCTTCCCCCCCCCCCCCCCCAAAAAAAAAGAAAAAAAAATCCATGGAAGAAAAAAAAAAAAGAAAAAGAAGAAGCAAAGCAGTTGTATTTTGCACCCTTCCTGCTCTTGTTGGTTGTTGCCAAAAACCTGTATGCTACAACGTGGTAAACACATGCCAGGAGTTTGTCAGGAAAGAAAGAGAAAGAAAGAAATAGAAAGAAAGAAATAGAGTGTAAGAAAAAAGAAGGAAAACGACCGAGAAAAAAGCGGAAGAAGGGCGCAATTAAACAGAAGGCGGTTCGAGAAGAAAGCAGAAAAAAAACAAAAAAAAAAAACAAACACTGGGAGCCCTCGCTCCGTCACCTTTGGTTCGGGCAGCCGGCCCTGAATGTCTTAACGGGGCCGAGGCACGCGGAAAAGGGCGCGACGGGAGGGGACGACAAGGGGCAGCAACAGCGCTTGGCTGGAAGGGTGCACTCGCAAAGAAGATAAACACATTGATGCACACGCGCCCAATATAGTACCCGCGGGGCTAATTCAAAATAGACACGCGAGCAAAGGACAAAAGAGAGGGGCGCATAAAACCAGGCAACGACATTCGAAAAAGAAAAGCAAGGAAGTTCGAGTGAGGAGTCTGTAATGACACGACGAAAGGACATCATTCCTATTACAGATTAACGAGCAATCTCTGCATCGCAGTACGTAGCTTCAACATTTCACGGCCGTAAGAGTCAACAGAACCGATCTCCCGTATAATGACGAGTGCAGCGAGCCTAATGCTATACAGCAACCGAAATCAAGCGAAAATTAGAGACACGATAACGTCGTAATCTTGAAGCGTTCACGTCCCTTTTCGGGTCCAGCGCACGCTCATGCGACAATACAAAGTCAAAGCTGGTTAAAAAAAGAAGAATGGTACGAACGGCAAGAGAGCAAAAAACGGGCCCAGACAAGAGCAAACAAACACCGATATGGACGTCACCGAGCAGCATATTGAGCTCAGCGTGAGGAGAGGGTAGAGGGAGGGACACAGAGGGGAATGAAATCAGCCGAGCGAACAGCCGACGTATCGCCGGCCCGCGTGCGCGTCTTCCAGCATAGCCCCTCTTCTGCTCTCCTTCCTCTGCCGTTTTCTTTCAAGATATGAGAGGAGTCATCAAGACAAACAATCTGTTGTAAAGTAACGCCTCGTCTCAGTGCTCCGTTACACGCGTTTTTTCGGGCGTTGAATTGCAAGTTTTATAAATAAGCAAAAAACAAAACATTAGTTCGCTTAGATTTTTTTTCACTGCTTCGTTTAGAGACGGCAGCAATACGAGGTCGTTATCAGATTAACTTAATCAGAAAACCAAGTTGCTCCAAAGTAACGTACTTAGAAAGCGGACGAATAAAATGACAGTACCTTGAGCCTACCTTCGCTTTACATATTTAGATTTTAAAATGTATGACGATTAATAATTTACTGGGCGCCCTTAATAGAAAGCATGGTAGAATGGAGATAACTAAAATATTAATTTATTCTAGCCTGTTTTACGTTAACACTTTATGCAATTTTCACCCAGAAATACGACGCCAAGGCGCGAAGTACCTAAGGCGCGAGTAATAAAGTTACATGTCTGGTTGATGGCATACATAATGTATACGATC